CATGAATGGACCGCATCTCTCTCTCTCTCTCTCGTGAAGAAAAAGTAAAAAAAAAAAAACACCACCCCCAATCTGTAACATCCTGAGTCCCAGGTATATTATTTAATTAATTTCATTCATTTTGGCAGGGCAACTCGATGAGTTGGGAGCACCAACTCGCCAATTAGAAAGTATAATGGTCGCGTGATTTTAGAGTCTACTCGACGAGTCAGAGGACCCCGACTCGACGAGTAGGAGCTAGGTGAGAAAACCCTAATTTTTAGGGTTTGTGTCCTATTTAAAGGACCTTAAGCCCTCATTTTCGCCTCACTTATCATCCCAACCCTCTGTGAGAAACCCTAATCGTTTGTATCCATTTGTGAGAGTGAGAGAGAGAGAGATAGAGAGAGAGAGAGAAGCTAACTTTGGGTGTTTTAGTGCACATTTGGAAGAGGAGTGAAGAGCATTAAGCCTTGGAACGAGAAGAGGCTTGTGGATCAAGTGTTTTTCTCTGCTAGCTTCAATTTGGAGGTAAAAAGCTACCACCTTCATCATGTCTTTGACAGATCTCTTTCTAGGGAGTTTTAGGGATTTTTCCCCTTATCTTGTGGTTCTTGAGTTGTTGGAGCTTGTCATGGGGTTGAGACTCCAGATCTGGACAAATTTGGTCCCATGAGCCCAAAGATCCAAGCTTTATTAAGCTTTGGGCAAGTTTCCATGCATGAAAACCTTTATGGAGATTGTTTTGGCATTTTGAGCCCTAGATGTCATGCATGAACGTAAAGCTTGCAGCTTTACGTGATGATTCAGTATTAGAAGGCCAGATCCAGAGTATGAGACCTTATTTCTACCTGAAATCGTCTGAATAAGAAAATGGACTGAAGGGACTCGACGAGTTGGTGAGCCGACTCGACGAGTCGGTTAGGGTTTTCCCCGAAGAGTCTGGACGCGTTGTAACTCGGCGAGTTGACGAGACAACTCGACGAGTTAAGTTGGATTTTCACGACATTTCTGAGGAAACGAATGAACTCGACGAGTCACATAGATGCACTCGACAAGTTGGGTCCGCATGGACTGTTGACTCGAGTGTTGACTATTGTTGACTTTAGGGTTGGTCAAGACATGGATTATGGAGACCATGGAAGGGTAGAATGGTCTATGTGACTTTAGTGTTGACATTTCTGAGGAAACGAAGGAACTCGACGAGTCACATAGATGCACTCGACGAGTTGGGTCAGCATGGACTGTTGACTCGAGTGTTGACTTTTGTTGACTTTAGGGTTGGTCAATACATGGATTATGGAGACCATGGAAGGGTAGAATGGTCTTTTACCCATTCCAAGAGTTAGAGTGAGGGGTTAGTTTAATTTATTTAGAGTTGTGGTTATAAGTGTTAATTAGAGATGATTATGGCATGCAGGTGGAGATTAGACTGTTCGAGGGGTACGAGGCTTACTTGCTTGCTTATGAGGTGAGTCTTCTCACTATACTTACCTGAGTAGTAACATTGTGTGACCGGAGGGTCTTGTATGCTTATTCTGCGTTATGTGATATCATGCATCATGTCTTTGTGATCTATGGTATGTGTTATCCCGAGCTTTATTGAGTTAGGACCGGAGGGTCCAACCCGAGTTGTGGGACTAGAGGGTCTCCACTGAGACACATCGACCGGAGGGTCTTTATCGAGATATAGCCATGAGAGGCTAATGAGATGTGTGTGGTATTTTGGGGAACTCACTAAGCTTTGTGCTTACCGTGTTATGTGATATGTGTTTCAGGTACTTCTCAGGATCGCGGGAAGGCGTCAGCTTGATTGTACACACGAGATGGAGTTTATGTTTTGAGGATCCTGGATTTTATCAAACAAATTTATGAATTTGTGTTTTGACAATTTGACAATTGGGTTTTTTGAATGTGATATTGAGAATTATGTGATTTTGAAAATGAAAAAATTTGTTTGAAAATTTACGGTGTTACACAATCCATCTTCTTCTTCCCCAAATAATCCAAGAGTACAGGGTGTATGGAATGCTTGTTTTGACATTGTTCAAAGATGGGCAAGAATTTATATAAATCAGTTACTTAACTCCATGAACCATCACTTGTTTTGCAAACCAGTTCGGATCCTATCCTTACCATTACCTATAGGGGCTCCAATGTTCATCATCTTCTTTGTGAACCACACATTCAACTCTAACAATCAAAAAACCAAATCGAGCCCCAAAACTTTTCTCTTTCCGTTTAATAAACCCCAACAGACCACAACCCTCCTCCATCGGAGTTGCGTTCGCCACCAAAACCCTCCACATTTTCGGAAAGCTCATCATGGTGGGACACTTTGCTTGAGAAAGGTAATCATATTTTGATATTGATCCATCCATATAGGTCGTGTTAGGAAAAAAAAATAATAACCGGTACTGAAAGTTGTAAGCTATAAATTGGTAGCTAGAAACTGTAGTTTGTATTTGTTATATGGGTGTTTAGCAAAAAATAGTTAAAAGTTTTTGAAATGTGAAAAATTATATAAAATGATAATTATTAAAAAAAAAGATAAATATATAAATATATTTTTAAAGACAATTTAGGAAATTGATTAAAAAAACTTCAAAGCGTTTTTTTAGAAGCTACATGAAGTAGATTTTAGATTTTAATCTTTTTGTTTAAACTAAAAGTTTAAAACTTTTACTCTCATACGAAATTTTTTGTTTAAATTGTGCTTTTTTGGTTAAAAAATAAAAACTAGAAGCTTAAAAAACTGCCAAAGACACTATGATCTCTTGTTAATGTGTTATTGTCCAATTATATATGTTTTCAGTTTTTTCTTTCAAGAATTCTTACGAAAGAATTCGATATTAGAATGGGTGTTAGGCAAGGTGACTCATTATCACCTTTTCTCTTTATTATTGCAATGGAAGGCCTTCGCATTGCTTTAAAAAATGTGTGTGGTCTCCATAATTTCCATGGTCTCTCCCTTCCTCATAATGAAATGCATTTATCCCATCTCATGTATGCGGATGATGTCACGTTTATTGATGAATGGTCAGAAATAAATTTTGTGAATCTTAATAGATTACTTCGTTGTTTCTATCTCGCTTCGGGTTTGGAGGTGAATTTGCACAAAAGCAAGGTTTATGGGGTTGGTATCAATGATACGGAAGTTATTCGCTTTGCTAGCATCTTAAATTGTGAACCCGCTTATTTCCCTTTCGCATACCTTGGTCTTCCGGTGGGTGCGAATATGAAACTTGTTAAACATTGGAATCCGGTGATGGATAAATTTTGTGCTAAGTTATCGAGATGGAAAGCAAAGTCTCTTTCTTTTGATGGGCGCCTCACTCTCATTAAGTCGGTTCTTAACAACCTTCATATATACTCTTTTTTTTCCTTATTTAGAGCTCCTCGTAAAATAATTAACTTACTTGAAAGTATTAGGTGGAGGTTTCTTTGGGGTGGTGATGATTGCAGAAGAAAGATCAATTAGATGACTTAGGAAGTGGTCACGAAACCTAAAAGTAAAGGAGGTCCCGGTGTGGGTAGTCTTGACTCCACTAACTTGGCTTTGCTTGCCAAATGGTGGTGGTGTCTTAAAAGTGGTGAAAATTCTTTTTGGTCTTCTTGTATTAGTTCGATTCATAATCTTAATCTCGTTGATGGAAAACCGATTGCAAAATGTTCGATAAAAGGGGGTGGCTTAGCATATCTAGAATTAGGGGTGAATTGGAGGATCATGGGATTGCTTTCTCAAATTTATTCAAAAGAGTGGTTGGGATTGGAGACAAAACTGTTTTCTGGAAGGACAAGTGGTGTGGCGATGTTCCTCTAAAATTGCTTTGTCATAAATTATATGTGCTCGAGAAAAACAAAGACCGTTTGGTTTTGAATAGATATAGATGTGAGGCTGGTTCTGAGCATCGGAGGAGTTGGGATTGGGTTCAACTGTTAAGAAAAGGAAGAGAGTTGACGGAACTGTTAACCTTAAAAAATATGGTTGAGAATTTTCAGTTTAACAGAAATGGTGATAAATGGTTGTGGGCAGGTGACTCTATATGGTTTTTTCGGTTAGCTCCATGAGGCAAATTATTGATGATGCAGGTTCGAGCTACAGTGTGCCGATGGGTTAACTGGATTTCAGTGAAATTAACTGCTTTGTTTGAAGATTATTTCAAGATAGGATTCCTACATCTCAAAATCTAATTAAAAGAGGTAATAATATTTCTTTGAATCTTTGTCCGTTGTTCTTTCGAGGAGAGCACAGACCATATTTTCTTTTCATGCAATTTTGCTACGAAGATTTGGAGTTGGCTGATTAGATGGTATTCTATCAGGGTCTAGGAGGTGCAACCTTCTTCCTCTTCACATTTGAGAGATTGGATTATCTCGATGGTCGGTGACAAAAACAGAACAAATATGGCGATGTCTCTCATTTACTCCAGGATGATTTGGAAGGCGCGTAATGCGTTGATGTTTAGAAACAAAAGGTGAGCGGTCATGGTGGTTGCAAATGATATTAGTATTAGCACTTTCAATTGGATTAAATCTAGATCCAAGTTTTATAATTTAGATTGGTTTGTTTCGTGTATGTTTCAAACTTTGAACTCTTTTGTTTCCTAACTTGAGCTTCTGGCTTAAGTGCAAACTTTGAACCCTATTACGTATACGTTGCTTTTGTTTCCTAACTTGAGCTTCTCGCTTAAGTCCAAACTTTGAACCCTATTATGTATATGTTGCTTTGCCGTTCAAAAAAAATATGATTGCATGCATTAGACAGGGGTTATTTTTTTAGAATTCACTAGTTTTAACTTTTAAGGTATAAAATTAATAAAAGGCCCCAACATTTCGGGCCGAAGGCCATGATTTTCTCCATTTAATTTTTTTTTAATCCTCTATATCTTACAAAGATACAACCCCTAATTAGGAACAATAACTTTACTCTTTCTTTAGTGATTAATATTTTATTGCAAAATGTTTCATCCTTAATTCCTCACCAATATAACTTAAAATACCAAATATTACACAATAAAAGCCCTTCAATAAAACCACAAGCATCAAACGCAACATGTAAAAACCACTCATCATAAACATCACATAAAGATCCATCATCTGTACATAAGAAAAGCAAGTAAAATTACCATTCTACCCACCTAGCCACCTTCCAAAACAAACACAACACCCTATCAGCAAGGGCACCATCGTCATTTCACCCCTGGAAATCTCCAACCCCCATCTTTTGAGCTTCAACTTTCAACGACTTGAGATATTTCACAGCTTCATCAAGAACATCAACAGTATTCATTCCTCCATTAACACCAGGCACAATTCCCTTAAGAGACTTCACCATCTTCTTCATCTTATCCCTCTTTCTTTCACTATCTTTCACCTCATATCCCGAAAATACCCCTGGCTCACCGTTTCTCCTGCTCGAAGAGCAAGAATCTGACGTGTCACTTCCATCATATCCACCTGTACGCCCCGTGCTGACGTCATCACCCTCTTCATATTCCTCCTCTTCATCCTCCAAGCTCAACAACGCATCTATATCAGCCAAATCTTCATTCATAACTCCAGGGGCATTTTCGTCTTTTCGCACCAGTGTAGTAGAAGTAGTAGTACCAGGATGGTACATGATCCTGCTTTGGTTATCTGTCCGGTCAAATATAATAAAGTTTCTCGGGCAGTCCCGGGCAGGCTGAAAGTCAACATTTTGACCAAAGAAGGATGAAAGATTGCGATCCGGGAAGTACCCACTACCCATTTTGACTTTTGTTGACCAAAAACGATTTCTGAAATCTGAACTGTGGCTTTCTAATTTTGTGGTTTTGTTTTTTTAAATACAAAAATTTTAAAAAGAAGAATCTTGAAAGGCAATTAGGATTGAGGAGAGTGCAAATGATGCACTTTCAAGTTATTTCCATTTTTAGGCCAAGAGATTTATATTAATAATCACCAACAACTAATAGATTTTGAGAGATTTATGGTTTTCTAATGTGAAATAATGACCAAAAAGGGCTTTGACTTTTGGAAGACTACGTAACTGGCTTAAGCAATTGACGGAAATATTCAGCCTGTAAAAGTCAACAAATAGTGCATATAAGTATTAATCCATTAAAAAAAAGTCACTTGCTTGACTAGAAAAGTCAAAGGTATGTCTTATTACTAAACATTTTGCTTAAAATAAAGAGAAGAAAGAAGATATATACCTGACAAACTTGCATCAAATTGTAATACGCAATAATTCCAACACTCATTTTAATCTTTCCCACTTCTTTTACAGATCCAATTCTCCTTTGTGTAATGCCAATGTACATTCTCAGTCCTCCAACCAATATGCAGAGTAATAAATACTAACAACTCACACAATTAACAAAAACAACTCTGCAAAAAAAAAAAAAAAGATTACTACTTATTAGTTAATCGCACTTCACATTCTGTAAAAAAAATAAAAATCATAAATGCGATTATCGTTTTTCAATTTGGTGTACATTCGGTTTTGGCAAATTTGATAAAGGTTGTGAAATTTATTTGTAGGAATGTATTAGAATAAGAAAAATAAAAATAACAATAAAAATAAAAATTACGCCTTTATCTTACCTGAGGAAAATAGAATTACAGTATGAAAAAGAAGAGCGTCAATTGAAAACACTTTCCACAATAATTAATTCCCAAAGACGTCCACGGCATGTTGCTCTATTTTTATATCAAAATCGACTTTTTGATGATCCCCCTACACCAAAACTGTAATAACATGATCAAAATTCGAGGTTAATTCAACTATAAACACAAAATTACTTCTTGGATAATGTTCGTTATCATTATTAATCGAGATTTGAATACTGATAATTTGACATGTGAACATCTGGTGAACAATTATAATCGCAATAATGGGATTATATATGTTCGTATGTCGAATTATTAGTATTATAAATAAAAATCTTGATGAGTTCAAAGAGAAAAGATCAAGACACCAGAGTATATAAACACGATATAATTTCACAGAATTTATACAGACACTAAGGGCATAAATTACATGAACATATTTCTTAAAGAAAAGATTTGCATGACATTAAAACTGTAAATCTGAGAACTTGAGCTACAAACCAGTGTGAAATTCAAATTTGAAAAAGATTGATGGAAAAAATAACAGAACTTTTTTATTAGATTACCAATATTTTTTTATTTTTAACATTAAACAAAATAAAAAAGAAAGTTAGTTATTCATCCTAGAATTTGATCAACAAAATTCAAAGAATAAAATAGTTAAAAGTTAAAACATACCCGAATTCAGATTGTTGAAAAAAGATTAAACTTTTTGAACGAATACTCGAAAGATGTTTTCATCTTTATCAGTTAAACTCCAAATAACATAAAACAGAAAGAAACCCAAAATACGACAGCAAACTCCTTTGAATTTGACGAGCAAAATCATTAAATGAAAGTATGAAACAATTAAAGCATATCCAAATCCAGAATTCTGAGGCAAATAGATCAAACTTTTCTAAAAGATAACATATAAGATATCCTTGATCTCTTGTCAATTCAACTCCGACAACATTTAACAGAAAGAAACCCCCCAAAATTGACAACAACCCACTGAAATTCGATGAAGGAAATCACTAAACAAAACGATCGAAACATACCCAAAGTCCAGATTCCTGAGGAAAATAGATCAAACTTCTTGAGTAGAACAGAAAACTCGGAAGATGTTCTTGATCTGTTGGGCAGCAACAATGAAGGCGGAATGGGTGAAATGAATGATGGGGGACATCTAAATTAGATGAAAAAGAAGTGGGTGGGGTTTCGTTTTTTGGTGTTGGACAGTGTGCTTTCTTTTTGGCGCAGGTGGGAGTCAAAGATGGAGATTGTGAGTCGTTGGATTGGGGGTACGGAAGAGGAAATTGGGCGTTGGATTGGATATCGAGAGCACGCGTGAGCGTGATGAAGATGTTTGACAAAATGCGTGATCCTGCAACAAATCTCTTGGAATCTTGTAATTTTGCATTTAATTACATCAAGTAAACCACTTCTGCCACTTTGATGCTATTTTTTTCCACTTCTGCTACTTTGATGCTATTTTTTTCTGTTTTTTTGAACAATCCAAAAAATATTCTCATTCTCTTTGAAAGTTACTTTCCTTTTAACCAAAGAGTGTATAAAATGCAGAACATGTAGAAATGAACTTTTTATATTAATTTTGTTGGCTAATTATAACAAAGAGTTTGTAGTCTAATGATAGTAGGTGCTTCTTATTTACTAAACATAAAGATAAAAATAGATTTAGATCGAGAATTTAACTCATATCTATCTCTTCTAATAAATGAAACCTAAAAATGTTAAGTGTCAGTTTTAAAATGACTCTTTGACACGTGTCATTTTTCTATGATTTTTATTATTTCCTTTTTTTGGTAACAAATCAAATTCAATTTTAAATTTTGAAAATACAAAATCATATCCTAATTATTATATATATTAAAGTTGTGGAAGAAAGGAATAGTAAACTTGGGATACTTTGTCCAAGTTTGGTCCCTTGATTTATATATCCGGTCCATGTACTTCTTTAATTAATTTATTCATGTCCTTTTGTTTGTGTTTCATTCAACTTTTCATTTTTTTGGCAGAATTGATCTCTGTATTATTGTTGGGTTTGTGTTCCATTCAACTTCCCATTTTTTTGGCAGAATTGGTCCCTGTATTATTGTTGGAAGTTAGGAATACTAAATTTAGATGTTTTTTTGCAACTTTGGTCATTATTCTTAACCCATTTTGACACTTTTGGTCCTTGCAATCAATATTTTTACATTTTTTTGGAACCTTTTAATATTTAAAGTTTGGCCACAAAACTTTAACGGTTTGACAACTTTGATCCCTTTTTCTAAAAAGTTGCTAATTCCTACCCCTTTAATTCTTTAGCCATTTTCACACTTCTGGTCCTTGCAGTCAAAACTTTTATATTTTTTTTCGGGGGCAAAGCCCGGACTTTTCATCCTTGCACTTTCTATGTCTGTCATATTTATTAATTCGGAAACAACATTGAAAGCTTCTGGCCCCCGCGTAGCGGGGGTAACCTTTCTAGTAACATTATTATGTTTATTTTGCTTAACAAATTAATTTATAATTACTTACAATCGACAAGATCTTTGTTTTTTTTTACATTAATTATTTTTTATCTATATAAAAGTTTTAGATATACCGACCGTGGTTTCCACGGATTATAACCTAGTCTAGGATATAGATAGATTTAAAAGTAGTTTAAAAATAAAATTAATTTGTCGTTCAAAACAAAGTTTGTTTAGAGATGACTAAACTGCAAATTTGGTCCCCATGGTTATCAAAAAAATGTGGATAGAGTCCAAAATCTTTTCAACTTGCACCATCGGTCCAAAATCGGATCTTTTTTGTGGATATGGTCCCTGTCAAACTTAAAATGACGATTATACCCTTTTAATTTGTTTTTTATAATTTTTTTATGTTTCAGCCTTTATTTTAATATTTTGATAATAAAAAAAAAAAAAAAAAAAAAAAAAAAAAAAAAACCTACCCTACCCCC